GAATGATGCTTTGAGGAGCTTGCACTGAAGGTATTTTCTGATAATGCATCTTTAGTCTTTAGCTTTCTTGTTAAAATGTAAATCAATAAACATGATTAGAGGTTGTTAAAATACGAGAACAATGATACCCTGTTGTTCTGATTTTCTGATTTCCATGGATTGTTAAACAGATAATGGAGGTCCCCTATTCTTTTGGAAGAAGGATCTGATGTAAAGAGGAGCATTTTAAATCAGAAACCAGAAAATCAGGCTCCTTCAAGTGGTGGTTGCTGCTCTGTCAATTTTTTTTCTGGTCTCTAGATCAAGGTCGTGCCAAGAAAGCATGACTTACTTTCATTCCTTTGGCAACTAGAACGCGAACAACTTGTGTACATTATAATCTCTATCAATATTTTTTCCCTAGTCTGTACATCAAGATCTATTGGCTTGTGTAAATTTGTATGCATTGCACTTCTTGGAAAATTATCATCGGTGTTAGAAAACATTGCCTTCATTGATTATATCTGAGATTTCAAATTTCTGATTAATCGCCATTCCCCAACATTCTAAGGGGTGTGTGTCTCCTACATGTGCCTGAGTCCCAACAAGAATAAGAAGGTCAAGGATAAATGGCTCACACGGTGTTTTTGGAACAGAAAAGGCTCGAACACCATGCGGCAGGAGAAATTTTATTATTTTTCGTATAAAAATATCGTTGGTATAAACGTGTCATAGAACAGACAAATGACTTGAACTTGCAGTCATTTAAGACATTCGGATGCTATATGAAATAACGAAAGAAAACTGAAACCCTATCCTATTAACCCTCTCTTCAGTCTCCTCTTGATCTAATGGAAAATGAATGTATCAAGCCAAATCTCAAAACTGTGTGCTATGGCCTACCCTATTGCTGGATGGCATCAAACAATGACCAACCACAACCACCCCCACAAGAAGAGAATAGGTAATGGTAAATTTAGAGAACAATCAATAAAATTTTCATTAACAGGTCTCAGCACCAGTAGCTGCCTCCAAAACTGTCCTAGCTTCTGTGTCTGCGTCAGCCAGCGCACTTGGAGTCTGCACAATTCTCTAGTTAGAAATATGTTTTTTTTTTAAAAAAGAGAGAAAATATAAAAAAATATATTTTTTTATCTAACCTTTACATATACATTTCTTTGTGGGAGAAGATCCTGAAGCCAGCAACAATCTTATAATATCGACATGCTCACCTCTTGTTGCATGATGAAGTGGCTACAAAAACAATGTGCACTTATTATTCACAAAATTTAGCTAACAAAGTCCAAGTCGCAATGGATAAATGTTTAAGAAAAAATTAGGAAGAGGGGGAAGAGGGGGAACTGTTCCATTCTTCAGCCCCCTATTAAGCATCCTTTATTCAGTAGATGCATGGGCTAAACATTAGTCTGGTTTTTCTTGTAATAGAAATCGTGCAGTTTACTAAGCCAAGGAAAAGAGAATTCATCAACTTTAGGTTTTCATCAAGAAGTAAGGAGTAAAAGTACAACTCATGATTTAAGATTTATGTAGTACTAACAGTGTCAGCTTCCGTATCACATCCTTTTCACATGGTCGGCATAATTAGCACTGTTAAGCAGAAGTTGTACTATCTCAGTAAATCCTGAAAGCAGTCATTAAAATGGAGTTCAAGTAAAACCAGTAAAAGAATAGAGGAAAAACTTAGGGTAACAAATATTTTACTAATTTTGTACTGCAGAGAGACTTGCTTCCGCAGCATGTAGGAGGGTTTGTTGTATTTTCTAGTAACTGTTAATATTCTTTGCTCAGGACCTGTGTTTTACATGAAGAAGATGAACAATTAGAGTTCATTTTTCTAATTTTGTTTCAAATTTGCTACTGAAATCTTCGGTTTTGAATGAAAAGTTGGTAAATTTTGAAGAGTGCCGTGTCATTTGTTGAGTACTCTTCCAGAGATCAAACTGAAATATTATATCCTAGCTTCTAATTTCCAAAAAAGGTACTTGAATTGATTAATAAATCCAATATGCAATTTGATTACAATTCTGAACCATATCATGCTTTACTCCTGGAGTTTGACATCTTGCACGATGCTTCATGGATATATGCCTAGCAAAAAATGGAACTGGATGGCTGGATACCTACCGCTTCATGTTGGGAGGTGGAGGGGTTGGCATCTGTTGACCTCGAAAACCTTGAGGAGGAATTGTTGGAAGCCTAGCAGCAAAATTTGCCATCATGCAGCGGGGTGGAGGTGATGGGCTGCCACCAGGAGGCATAGGCCTAGGACCGTTTCCCATAGGAGGAGGTGACGGTCGAGAGCTAATAACTGGAGTTGGTGCTTGGTAGGGACTCTAGGAGGACTTACAACCCTTGTGGTGGATGAGGTAGAGGTGGTGGAGCATGGAGCTGCTGCTCCATTAGCTGCTGGGGCAGTTTGAGGTTTGTTTGCCTCTACTGGTTTGACTTTGAAATACACCTTCAGCTGCCAGTTGATGAAAACCAAACAGTTGTCAGATAAAATGGTTCAAAATTTTCCAGAATCAATATCTTTAGACCAACACAGACAGTAATAAATGATTCAGACCAAGTTGAATCAAATGACAAATATGCTCTAGCCTTCTAGGTTCTGGCAAGAACACAGCATGTCTGGTTTGAAAAGGAGCTCAAGAATGAAACCAAAAAGAGAGAAGAGAAACAAAGAAGTAAACAGTAAAGTTGAGACTTACTGTGAACACTCTGAAATCAGTTTCACTGCTGGGACCTGAAAAGTAATACAGAAAGTAATATGAATATTTATGAAACATAGATGAGAGAATGTGAGTTAACAAGATTTAATTACCTTGAAGGTTGTGATCGTATATGGTTCTGATCGTATATGGTTCTACAGCAAATAGAAGATACTGGCATCTTCTAATGAAAGGTTGCACTCTCTACATCCATGTAAAAAATAATAATAATAATAATAATAAACATGATATTAGATTCTCTATTTGAAATTCAAAAAGTAAAGTTGCAAGGAGGGCTCAACATTTTTTAAAATGTAATCTAATGATATTGAATCCCTAAAATCATTGATCAAAAGAAGGAACTATTAAGTAAGAAATATATATAGCTAACCTGCTCATAAGATGACATAACATGGTGCCTCAGCTTGGTATTGTCTTCTATCTCAAGATACTAAATCCAGCATTGAATGATGGAAACTACAGCCAAATTGTCATTGCCTATAAATGGTATCAAGATAGTATCATAAAATTGAACTACAATCGTGCATAAATTTTACCAGTAAGAGAAGAGACCTCTGTAGTCCTCTGTATTGCCTCTGGATTATATATATTGCTTTGTCACAAGATACCTAGGCCTGCAAATTTTGATTGTGGAAAAAACAAACAATGATACAGTCAACATAAAAAGATAACAATCTCACAAGGACATTCAAACTCAAATATTGCAAAAAATTGGGAATTTGTCATATCTGCACTAAAAAATAGCTAAAGACGTGACTCTGACTCCTTAAGTGATGAAAATGATGCAGAATGGGCAAGTTATAATGACAGCTCAATAGCTCATAATGACATACAATGCTCATAGTAAATTGAGAGCAGCAATCAGTAAGTAACACATTATGAAAATCAAAGATGAACTAAAATAAAATAAACCCTACACATAGACCTCCTAGTCCTACAATATGTTAGCCACAAGTGAACTTTGAAATGTATTACTAGTATAGTTCCATCCAAACAGAGTTTTAAAAACTCTTAGCAAGAAAATATGAGTTCACATGAGACATAACCATACTTTTTTCTTTTCTCCTGTGAGACTCAAAAAGGCATTTATAATTCCAGACATTTGTGTTGAGGATAAATTTTGAAATTAGTGCTGGGGAACAATTGTTCAGAGTTCCACATAATTCAATAAGTTATCTATAACATTATTTATAAGATTCATGTTGCAGAAGCGCATATGGATACACCATGAAGCTCAAATGAAACTAATAGTGCGAGGTCACACTACAGCCTATTACTTTGAAATCTATGAAGTCAATATGGAGCTACTACAAATACAAGATACAGGGATGTCCTATCAAACGGTTGCACTCTCTGCATCCATATCCATGAAAAAGTCAACAAAGAAATTTAGATTTCGCATTTGAAAACAAAGTAAAGTCACTCTAAGAGCTCAACATTTTTTTGGTGGAATCTTTTGTACATTGTGGAATATTAATTTAGGGTAAATTATTGGAAATCCATAAAACAAGTGACACATAAATAAACCACCAACCTGCTCATAACATTGACAGAATATGGTTTCTTGGCTTTGCATTGTCTTCTACCTCAAGTTCATTCCAGATTTGACATGCAATTGTAAATGGATATCTAAATTAGCTGTCCTGTGCTAGAATCAAATTACTGAAAAATCTCATTTGAACCTGTTCTA